AAGTAGTACATAGTAAAAACAAAGGGTGGGGGGAGGAGGGAAATTGAATATATCTATTCCCTCTTCTCCCTGAGAAACACATCGATAGCCTCACAAATTCCAACCAGAAGCCATGACTGGCAATTTTAAGCTCTAGCAAAACAACTTGGGAAAAGTAAATAATTATTTATGATGAAATATTACTTTGTCCCTAATTTTTTCCCTAAATGTGCAACACATAAAAGAAGAGTATTGAAAGTGATCCTCTATTGTGAAAAGACTCACCACTTGTTCTTCTTGACTTGCCATTTTGGACATGCTTAAACTAGAGATTTTGTCAACCTTCTGACACAATCTGGGAATGCAGTTCCTCATCCTATTTACCTGGACTTGAAGTTAGAGGCTTTTCTGCTTCCCCCTGGTTCTTTTTACTTCTAACCTCTCCATCAGTAGAGGAGCATCATATAATTCACTCCCTCCAAATCTTTTGTGTAGATTTCTGCAGTAGCAATAGGAAATTGACAGTGCTCTTTCATACCTCCCTACTTTTGCATATGCTGTTACCTGTGCTTGGAATGCCTTTCTCAACCCCTGCCTCTCTGGCCAATGACTACCTACTTTTCAGTCTCATTTTAAGCATCCTACTGGAGCTTCTCTTAATCCAGATATAGATTATTTATCTCCTCTCTTGTGCTACTATTATACTTTTGCATATCCCTGCTAATGCAGTTATTCATTTATTTGGTGCTTATTGAACATCTATCATAGACTAGACTGAGGGATATATATTTATTCAGGCTCTGCAGAGAGACCTGCCCTGGGCAAAAAGCAAGGCCTTTTGCTGATTATCTCTATTTCTCCAGAGTGCCTAAAATAGTGTATGTCATATACTAGACACTCAACATATATTTGCTAAAAAAGCATCAAGTGATTGCATTACAGATCATGGCCCTGTCCCTAAGGCATGGTACTATTAGAGGCAAACACATAGTTTCCCTTCCTCTTTTCCAATGTTTAAGATCTAGGCTCACTCGTATGAGATGAAAATCATTATAAAAACAAACTCCAAATCAAAATGGGCAGTGCACTAAGGTCTATGTCAAGAAGTAAGAAAGGAGAAATACCCCTACTTTATCTTGGTGAGTTTCAGCTCTGACTATAAATTCATGTTAATGACAGTTGAAGGTGTCCCTTGAGCATATAACACATCTGTGTCATCTTACCTCTTCAAGGGTTTGAAGGTAAGAAGAACATTCTTTGCATAGTACACACAGATTATCTGGTTTTATCTCCAACATGTATTGTTCAATGAAAAAAACAAGTTGCACCATGATACATACCATATGATACCATTACATAAACATGGAAAGACACCAAAAAATGTTATGCATATTATACACACACTCCCCCACACATGCATTCTACCAAGGACAAAAGTCTAAAAGATATACAAATAGACCAAACTAGAGAGGATACTGCAACTGGAAGTTAGTTTCAAAGGGGAATCTAACTATCTGTAATCAAATCTTTGCTTTTTTACAAAGAAAATGTATACATGTATATTTATATAACTAAGAGTAATAAACATTACCCCCAAAGGTCTTATTTCTAAATAATTATATTATCTATTGTAGAGTTAATATGATTACATTTGAGTTTATAAGTGATTATCTGGTGGGCTCTACCAGTGAGAGCCCCAGGGCCTAATAACCCAACTGCACCCATTTCTGAACCTGCTAAACTTGGACTACCTCTAAAGGACCTTGACCCTCCCAGGTTGTGACAACCCTGTAAAGCCCAATCTGAAATATCCAGTTAACTTTATCTTTAATTTTGAATATAATCAAATTTTTTTGAGGAGGGGAGAGAGAGAGAGAGTGCACATGTGTTAGCAGGGGGCAGGTAGGGGTAGAGGGAGAGGGAAAGGGAGACTCTTAAGCAGGCTCCAATTCCAGCGTAGAGCCTGAGGCCAGGCTCAATCTCGGGACCCTGACTGAGATCATGATCTGAGCTGAAACCAAGAGTTGAATGCCTAACTGACTGAGCCACCCAGGTGCCCCTAATCAAATAATTTTTATACAAATTTGATGTGCCTTATACAAGAAATTTCTTCTGACATCTTCTTTAACAAATAATTCAAAACACAGTATTTTTAAATTTTACTTAATGGTCACAAATGCACTGCTCATTCTTTTGATCACAAGTTTATTCATTAAAAGAAAACTATTAACATCAAGGCCACCAGCAAGGTTATAGAGTTCAACAATTAAATGGAATTTTCCACTACTCCACTATTATTGCTGAAGAAATTACATCATCTTAATTTTAAAACTGTGGCAGACATAGCTAGGTGTCAATATCCATTCTCCCTTTTTTCCTTCTTAGCAGAACCCAGTTTTGTCCAGGATTAAAAGATTGGCCTTCCTTGATATCCCCGAGATTCTAACTGACCATGTGACACAGTTCCAGCCAATGAGATATAAGCAGAGGTCTGCTGGGAATTGGGGCACAAGATTTGTTTCTTCATATGAGCATTGCCCCCTCCCTGTCCTTCCTCCTTTCTTCTTGCCTGGAAATATGGATGTGAAATGACATGGAGAGGCCATCTGTGACTATGTAGTGAGTATTGGGATTAAAGATATATACTAAGTATCCCAGAGAAGAAAGCCAAAGGGAGCTCGGGACACTGATGATATCAAGAATCTGCTACACCAGCTATAGACTACTACTCTCTGGACTTGTTATGAGAGAAATAAATCCCAAGCTTCTGCATGCAGGTTCTGTAACTTTCAGCCAAACAAAATTCCCAACTGATACAGAATGGGAAAATATGAAGCACCCAGGAAGTATTGATGCCTTTCCATATAAAACAGTATAAAAATTCTTCTAGAAAAGTACCCATCAATACAGCATAGGATAAAATACTAGAAAATATTACTGTGGTTGCTTTTCAATAGTAGCATGAGAAAATCACAGCTAGAAAAATTCCTATTTGAAAACTCCAATAGAGTTTCATTTGCAGTTCAACATAGCTGAAAGAGAGTAGGTAAAGAGTGTAGGTAGTTCTGGAAGGGGAAAAAAGAAAAATCTTCAGAAACTTAATTTCCCTATCAAAAAAATAACACAGAAGAATGTATCTGTGGGTTTTCAATACTCCAGGATAAATAGTTTTTCCACAAAGTATCAACTATGTGAAGAGAAATTTTCTCTTAAAATAATACATTTTTTAAATTTTTAATAAAAAATGGCAATCGACCACTCTTTAACAATAAAAACTATAAGACTCTGTTAAATGACACTGCTTGGAACACAGTAGCACTAACACATTTTGAATGAATGAAATAATTATAATGGGTAGGAAATAGTAATTCATTTTTTTTAAAGATTTTTTTTATTTATTTATTTGACACACAGAGAGAAAGCACAAGTAGGCAGAGAGGCAGGCAGAGAGAGAGGCAGAAGCAGGCTCTCCACTGAGCAGGGAGCCCGATGCGGGACTCGATTCCGGGACTCCAGGATCATGACCTGAGCCGAAGGCAGTCGCTTAACCAACTGAGCCACCCAGGCGCCCTAGTAATTCATTTTTGTGTAAGGGAAAGATCTTCAAGGTGAAGGCATGAAGAAATGAAAGGAAAAGGTTGAAGGAATTAAGATAGTTTAGAGGAGGGAAAGAAAGTGTGAAGAAAAAGAAAATTTAAAAGAACAAAGAAAGAAAAAGATTGTGTTCATTTCCTATTTCTACTTTCTAGTTCCCTTAAGTTTGGTCAAAAAAGAAGGCATCCTCCTCCCTATAAAGACAAACTCACAGTTTACATCAGCTTCACTGAAGTGATTAGAAGTTTTACTGTAGAGGAGGTAGAGCAGGTAATTTTCAAACACAAAAGTGGGCCCTAACTAAGGCAGGTGTGGTGGGATTTTCATTGGCAGGAGGCAACTAACTCAGGATGAGCAACTCCACTCTGGAGAAAAGAGAGGGAACATCTATCTGATGTGAGCAGATGGGCTGAATGCAGAAGATGTAATGAGAGATGTCAGTCTTTTCCTGCTTCAATTTTTGTTTCAACCTAATTCTTCACACAGAAAAGGAGAAAGAAATCCTCTGCTATCCTCTATTTCATGTTCTCTTTCCACAGGGATCCAAATTCTCTGAATAAAGTTGGAAGTCCTTGCATGGAAAATCTCAATAATATCTTTTGAAAGCTGGGGGAGGTAGAAGAAAAATAAATTTCTCTCCCTTAACAAAAGAGTGAAAGATGAGTTCTTTCTGCCTGCAGTGGTGCACGAGGAGAGTAAGGGGGAGGGTGATGAGAGGGCCAAATGTCATGTAACCCAAGGACAAACAGAATTTGCCTGCATGGGATTTTCCACTTGGCTTTAAAAACACCATTGAAATAATTTGGTCCAAAATACAATGGTCAATAATACATAAAATAATCACTAACATATGACCACTACTACTTGTCAGTGGCAATTGAAGACATCAGATGCATGAGACATCCATGCAATGGGAGATTTTAAAAACCTGCTCCTGTAGAAAACATTGCCAACAACATGGGTTTGTTTAAAATTTAATTGATATGAAAACAGCACATTCTCAAAACTAAGATACCCTTTAACTCTAGAGGAGTGTTGGGCTTTGGAATAAGGCTGCAGAACAGTGAATTCCAACTCACCACTTTTAAATTATGGAACTCTTGGCAAATTACTTAAATGATAGAAAAGGCAATATTATAAACATGTCAATTCTTCAAAATTAATTTATATACCTCAGTTGAAATCCTAGAAGATTTTTGGTAAAAATTGGCAAGCTGATTTAAAATGTGTATAGAAATATGAAGGACAAAGGATAGCCAAGGAAATCTTGAAGAAGAGAACAAAGCTGGAGGATTTATAGTACCATATATCAAGATCCATTATGAAACTGTAGTAATTAAGACAATGTGTTATTGGCATAAGGATGGACAAATAGGCCAGTGAACAGTATAGAGAGGCAAGAAACAGATCCATAAATATATGGTCACCTGATTTATGACAGAAGTCAGTCACACTGTAGTGTGCAAAGAACAGTCTTCAATAAATGGTCCTGGGATAGCTGGATATCCATATGGAAAAAATGAATCTTGACCCCCTACTTCCCAACATTCACCAAAATCAATTCCAGATGTATTGAAGATCTAAATGTGAAAGATAAAAAAAATGAAGCTTTTAGAAGATTACATAGGAGAACATATTCATGACCTTGGAGTTGGCAAAGATTTCTTAAACAGTTCACAAAAAAAGCTAATCATAAATGGAAAATGTAATAAGTTGGGAAATCCTAAAATTAAGAACTTTTGTTCATCCAAATACACCATTAATATAGTAAAAAGGCAATGGAAATAGTGGGAAAATATATCTGTAATACACATATTCAACAAAAGGCTTGTATCCAGAATATAGATATATTTAAATGCCTACAAATTAATAAGGAAAAGTCAGAGAACCCAATAGAAATGAGGCAGAACACCTGAATAAACACTCCACAAAAAAAGGATATCCAAATGGCCAATAAACATATTAAAAGGGTTCAACTTTATTCATTAGGAAAATACAATTTATTGTTTAAAGGATTTTTTTTTTTAAGATTTTATTTATTTGAGAGAGAGAATGAGAGACAGCACAAGAGGGAAGAGGGTCAGAGGGAGAAGCAGACCCCGTGCTGAGCAGGGAGCCCGATGCGGGACTCGATCCCAGGACTCCAGGATCATGACCTGAGCCGAAGGCAGTCGCTTAACCAACTGAGCCACCCAGGCGCCCATAAAGGATTTTATTTTTTTGAGAGAGAGAGAACATGGGAGTAGGGGAGGAGCAGAGGGAGAGGGACAAGTAGACTCCATGCTGAGTGTGAGACCCTCACAGGGCTCAATCCCACAACCCTAAGATCATGACCTGAGCCGAAATCAAGAGTCAGACAATGAACTGAGTCACCCAGGTGCCCCAGGAAAATCAATTTAAAACCAAAATGTAGTACATCTATAAACATACTAGAGTAGCTAAAATGAAAAAGATAGGAAATATCAAATGTTGGTAAGAAGGTAGAGCAAACAGAACATTCATACATTGCTGGTGGGAGTGTAAGTTGGTACAACTGCTTTAGAAAACTCACTGGCAATTCAGCTACTATGATCCAGTCAATCTACTCCTACATGTACCCAACAGAAATGTGTACATACATTCACCAGAAGATATGTATAAGAATGTTCATAGCAGCACTATTCCTAGTAGCCCCAAATCATAAACTACTCAAATATCTATCAGTGGTTGAATCAATAAATTGTGGTAAATTCACAAATTTACTATTTGACTTTGGTCATTGGGAATGAGGCTATGAGGTGAAGTGGGTAGTAAAATATTCATCAATACTAGTGTCTTCTTGGGTCAAGAAAATGATACTTCTGGCTCTGTCCAAGGGGAGGTATTTATAAGAAAAAGGATACATTAACAGCAGACATTATTCTTCTTTAAAGTTTGCATAATTTACTTGTTCAAGATGTCTTTTTTCTTTATAATTGCTAGTTGACATTAATTTGCCATGGTGACAGAGCTGACAAACTTGATGAGAGGCACTCAACTAATTATAAAACCAAATCTGAACGTTTCAAACAGTATCATAATGTATTTCACATGCAAAAAAAAGTCACCATAAAAATTAATATTGTAGGGGCGCCTGGGTGGCTCAGTCAGTTAAGCAGCTGACTCTTGGTTTCAGCTCAGGTCATAATCTTGAGGTCATGGGGCTGAGCCCCAAGCAGGGCTCTATGCTCAGTGCAGAGTCTGCCTCAGATTCTCTCTCCCTCTCCCTCCCACTCTCTCTCTCATTCTCTCTCTCAAATAAATAAAATATTTTAAAAAATTAATATTGTAGAAGACTATTTAATGAGATATAGATTACATATAAATATAAAAATCTTAAAGCAAGATACAAAATAGGAAGAATTTTAATTTTATAAAGTGTGTATATATATGTACATACATGAATATTTAATAAATGATTAAAAGCTGTATACCACAGTGCAACAGAAAAAAATGTGAATAGATTTTTAATTTTTTGCTCTCTATTTTGTAAATTTGCAAGTGATTAAAGAAAGAAAAACATTTTCTTTTTAAAATACTTAATAATTTATTAAAAATCTCAAACAATCACAGACTTACAGAAAATTTGCAAGAACAGCATAAATTTATTTTTCTGAAGGAAGTCTCCATTTCAGAGGAAGCTGCTGCCCTGATTCCCCATCACTCCTAAAGACACTTGAGGGTGTCTTTCCTACTAACAAGAACATTCTCCTGCATAACCACAAGATAATTATTAACAAGAAATTAACACTGATAAACACTACTATCAACTAATCCTCAGACCCCATTCAAGTTTTGCCAATTGTTTCAATAATGTTCTTTATAGTAAAAAACTTGAGTTCAGAATTAAGCATTGCAGGTAGTTGTCATGTCTCTTCAGTCTGAAATTGCTATTCAGTCTTTGACTTTCATGATCCTCATAATTTTGAAGATCATAGAACAGTTATTTTGTAGAATGCTCCTCAGTTTGGGTTTCTCTGATGTTTCTTCACAGTTAGACTCAGGTTATACATCTTTGACAGGAATGTCACAGAAGTGATTTGCATGCTTCTCACTGCATCCTATCACCTGATTTCCATTTGTCCATTACTGATGATGTTCATTTTGAAGATTTTATTTATTTATTTGACACAGAGAGAGAGAGGAATCACAAGTAGGCAGAGTGTCAGGGAGCGGCAGAGGGAGAAGCAGGCTCCCCACTGAGCAAGGAGCCCGATGTGGGACTCGATCCCAGGACCCTGGGATCATGACCTGAGCCGAAGGCAGACGCTTAACGACTGAGCCACCCAGGCACCCCCTGATGATATTCATTTTGAACACTTAAGGTAGCATCTGCCACTTTTTCCACTTGTAATTAATAAGTATTTTGTAAAGACTTACTTTGAAATGCTATAAATATCCCAAATTAAACATTTAATTTGTGTATTTATTTGCCTGTATCTGTATAGATTCATTTTATTCAGTGGATTATCATCTGTTACTGTAATTATTTTTTCTTAAGATTTTATTTTTAAGGGGTGTCCAGGTGGCTCAATCGATTAAACATCCAACTCCCCGCTCAGCAGGGAGCCTGCTTCTCCCTCTCCTTCTGTCCCTGCTCCTGCTCTCTCTCTCGCTCTTAAATAAATAAAATCTTAAAAAGAAGATTTTATTTTTAAGTAATCTCTATACCCAACATGGAGCTCAAACTTACAACCCTGAGATCAAGAGTTGCATGTTCTGCTGACTGAACTAGTCAGGTGCCCTGTTACTGTAATTATTTATTGTGATGCTCAAATTACCCTCAGGTTAGTCAGGAGAAAGCTCTTCAAGTTGGCTTCTGTGTCCTATGTGTTTTTTTTTGTTTGTTTGTTTGTTTTTAAAGATTTTATTTATTTATTTGAGAGAGAGAGAGAGCACATGAGGGGGGGGAGGGTCAGAGGGAGAAGCAGACTCCCTGCTGAGCAGGGAGCCCGATGTGGGACTCGATCCCGGGACTCCAGGATCATGACCTGAGCCGAAGGCAGTTGCTTAAGCAACTGAGCCACCCAGGCGCCCCTGTCCTATGTGTTTTAAAAACAATAGGCATTTATTAGCTCATAGCTCTGTAGGTCAAACGTCTGGTATGGCATGGCTGGGTTCTTTGCTCAGGATATGACAAGGGTGAAAGCAAGGTACCAACCAGGCTCAGTTTTTCTGTGGGTGCTCTGGACAAAACCATTTGCAATCTTATTCTTATTGTTGGCTGAATTCAGTGACTTGCAGTGATAGGACTGAGGGCAACTTTTCCTTACTTGTTTTCAGACAGTGGCCACTTTCTACAACTAGAGATTGCTTCCATTCCTTGCCAAGTGGCTCCTTCCATCTTCAAGACCACCAGGGATAATCACTCTCATGTTAAATCCTTCTCATGCTTTGAACCTCTGACCTCCTCCGTCTCTGACCATTAAACCTTGATTTAAAGAACTCATGTGATAAAAGCAGCCCACTCGATAACCTATCATAAGGTCAACCGATCTGGGACCTTAATTACCTCTGCAAAATCCTTTTGCAATATAAAATAACAAAATCACAGGAATAAATTGAGGGTTTTAGAGGGGAGGGGGTGGGGGGATGGGCTAGCCTGGTGATGGGTATTAAGGAGGGCACGTACTGCATGGAGCACTGGGTGTTATATGAAAACAATGAATTGTGGATCACTACATCAAAAACTAATGATGCATTGTATGGTGACTAACATAACATAATAAAATAAAATTTAAAAAAAACAAAAACAAAAAAACCTCCAGTCAAAAAAAAAAAAAAAAATCACAGGAGTGAGTCTAACACAGTATATTCATACTCCTGGGGATTATATAAAGCATGCACACTACGGGACAGGAAGTCTTGGGGGCCATCTTAGAATTCTGTCTCCTACTGCTTACTATGTAAAGTGCTAGAACAATGCCTGGCACATTGTAAGCACTATACATGCATTAGCTATTATTATTATTGATTATCTCACAAATTCACAGAAATTTTAAAAATAGCAATGACACACTAATGACAAAGGTGTAGTAAAATGACACTTCAATGTGACATCAAAGAAATACAGATTGTTAGAAGTTTCTGGTGATCATTTGGCAATGTGTATTGAAAGCCTAATATTTCCACTTCTAGGAATCCATCCTAGAACAGAGGTACACACAAAGATAGAGGAAAGAAGATTTTAATTATAGTATGTTTATGATAATAAATACTTTAAAAGAAATGAAAAAAATATCTTTTTTTAGGGGTTTGGTTAAATAATACAGCATAATTATTCAATGGAATACTATGAAGCCTTAAAAAACAAACAAACAAAAATACATGGCATGAAAATATTGAATGAGGAAGGAACATACTCATGTTAGAAGTAAAGGAATTATAGGTTACAAAATTGCTCTTTGTAGTCTTACCCAATTTTAGTCAAACACCAAATGAATTCCTGCTTTTCTTTATCTCTCTTGAGCTGTGTTACAGTTAAACGCCTATGTATATTCTATATCACTCTTGGGGTCTTTCTCCTTTTATAGAACCCCCCAATATTTCTTACTGTATGGTG